ATACAATGTTAAAAAATGATTTACTAATTTTATTTAACCAGAAGTCAAGCCTTAGGAAGATATATACAAAAACACATGCATACTTTTGTAAGTGTGAAGAATTGCTCTTACCTCTCCATTATATTAACTATCTCCAGTTTAAGCACTTGTGGTTTGATTTCCAAAGGACATTTCAATAAAATAGCATCTTATGATATTTTTGAATATTGCTGATAATAGGTTATATAATGTTACTTGAAACTATGTAGAAAGCAATTACATACAAATAGTTTTTATTTTATTATTTTCTTTTTGTTTAATTTTGAACAAATCTCAAAATGACAGTAAAATTAAAAGTACAATATAAATAATCTTTTTATGGACCATTTAAAATAAGTTGATAAAAAGATGTCCACTACCTTAAATTCTTGAATGCACTCTTCCTATAATCAGGGACATTCTGGTATACACAAGGAATTCAATATTCAAAATCAGGAAATCAGGATACAAATATTGACACATTATTACAGTCTAATCCTCAGACCCCACTCAAGTTTGTCAACTGTCCCAAAATATCCTGTATAGCAAAAGAATTTTTGTTCAGAATCCAGCGTTGCATTTAGATGTCACATTTTGTTGACCTTCAATCTAAGAAAGTTCTTCAGCCTTTCCTTAATTTTCATCACTTAGGCACTTTCAGTGATTAAAGGTTATTTTGTACAATGTCTTTCATGTAGGGTTTGTCTGATGTTTCCTCACACTTAAATTTTATATATGCACCTTTAACAGGGTTGTCACAAAAGTGATGTCATGTTCTTAATGTATCACATCAGGAAACAAGATTTTGGTTTGTTCCATTGTTAATAATGCTAATAACTTCGATCACTGGATTAAGGTGGTATCCGTCAGATTTCCCTATGAGGGAAATGCTTGCAACTATTTAAATACAGTGCTTTTCATCAGATTCAATTTATTCATTTACCTATTTATAGATAGTATGGATCCATGGTTTCTTATATTATTTCATCTATTAGTATTCCTATTTTGCCACTCAAATTGCTTGCACACGAGTGGGAGAACCTTCAGGTTGGCTTCTGTGACCCTTTGACATGGCATCTACTTTCTGGCACAAGGTCCTCCAAGCACATCTTGAACTTCTCCTAGCCCAGTCTCAGAGTCAGTCATTTCTCCAAAGAGTTCTGCACTTCTTTTTGTTAGAGAATGGCATTAGAAACCAAGATTTGAGTGCTGCATGTACTTACTGCTGTTGTTATCTATGTATATAATATGTATATATTTGAATCTATATTTATATGTATACTCACATGCTTGCATTTACATTTATATGTATATCTATCTTTACAAATGGAACACCATGACATCACATCAATAACTTCCAATTCCAACACTATACCACTATATTGCTAGTGCTCTTTCTTAACAAATTTGTTAACTTGTTTCTCCAGCAAGATGGAAGAGAAATGAAGGGAAGTGAAGAGATGGGAAAGGCAAAGAAAGTACCATGAAGAAGACACTGTGTCATTTTATTATTATTGTCATTTATTTAGGAGGAAAAAAGAAATAATAAAGTCACAAAACCTTCTAGTGGAGAGGCCTGTTTTATCTACTGGATCGGGGCCATGTGGAATAGTTCTTCATCATACATCTGTGGATATGAATATAGATATAGACACTTATATACACAGATACACAGTAAGAAGGCTGAGGTAATGAGGGGTAAAACCACTAGCCAGTACTTCTTTCTTTCTGGCACACATTGCGATTATATTTTCCCCTTTTCCCTTGAAGCTAAACAGAGTTACATGACTTATTTTAACAATGAAATGTGAAAAATGTCATGAATTGTTTCTGGATGGAAGAATATAATTGTGGATGTCTTTAAATAAACAGACTCTCCAAGCATCTTCTTCCTCTGGTAAGAAGATTGTAGAAACAGGTCTTCATGTGGTGGTGGAATGTTGAGACATTTCATGGAGGACAAACTGTAGTTTATCCAAAGCTGTAGCCAAATTTCCATGAGGAAGAAACCAGTAAATCATTGTTCTTTTAAACTCTTAAAGGTCTGGGCTGTCTATACTGTGGCATAATCTTGTCTATCCTTATTAATTATAAGGGGTTATCTAATCTGCAGTATAATGTCTAATGGCGACATTCTGACTGAGATAAACAGAAGTATAGGCTGCAGCATTTATTTCATAAATCCTGACCTACTTTGCCCTCAGACTTACCCTGTATGGTATTTCCCCAGAAAATCATATAGTTTCATGTCTAAGCACTGTAATGTCATTTTCCCTATGTGGCATTTCCTTTAAAGTTATCATGGTAATTTTATGATCCAGAGAAATTTAAAAATATTTATAACACATACAAAGCACTGATTCTTGAGGAAAAACATCTACTTAGGTGTAAGATTATGTTGTCTAATCAGTAAGGAAACATGTTTTAAAGTTTTTTGCAGACGCAGTTCCTAAATCATTTAAAAAATAGCTCAGAATGAGGAATTTTTTTTTTTGGGTAAGAGAAAATGTGTTTCAGTATCTAGAAAACAAAATAAAGATGCTAAATAAATAGGCTTTGAAAGATAAATTCCTTAGATATTTCATATAATTATAACAACCTTAATAAGTGTTATTAAAAGAGAGCAGATTTCGTGGTGACAAAATTTCTTCTATGGTTTTATTTAAAATTATATTTTGCAATAATATATTGTATTTTTCAAAATAGCTAGGAGAGTATTCCAAATGCTATCAGTACAATAAATGATTAATGTTTGAGGGGATGGATATGCTAATTATCCTGATTTAATTATTACATTATATATATATGAACATTACACTGTATTCCATAAATGTGTACAATTATCATGTGTCAACTAAGAACAAAATAAAACTTAAAAATAAAATTACATTTTGAATTCATGTCCTTATGATTTACTATATAAATAGAACTTTTCAGCACAACTTTTCCTTATGATTTACTATATAAACATCTATAATTTTTCACCATGACTTACTTATTTGCAGCTACTAAATTTAATTAAAATTTAAGCCCTACCCTTTCAAACTAACTGGATGATACATATCAAAGAGCAGTCATAAATTTCTGCCTTTAAAACATTTCATGACCTTTCAGTGTGAAGCATCATGTCTGCAGAAATAATGATCCGGTGAGTTCTGCAAGCATGGCAAAATCGTTGCCGTGTGACTAAGGGGGTGAAAAGTCACTCATTACTAGTCACACAGCAAGTGTCTGCAGAGTATAATGAATTTAGAGGAAGCAGGATGACCACAGATCTAATTTTAATGAAGCCCAAGACATAATCTGAACTGATAGAGTTCAAAGTCTGAATATAATCTATACAAGGTTAGAATTATTGTTTGAGAACGTAGGACATATAACTTTCTCTCTGGAAGCTTCTACTTTCCCTCTAAAAGTGTTCAATAGATACTTTTTTTGGTAGCAGATAGTTAAGTTTATATTAAGGTGATAGGAAAAAGTTTTTGGACTCTGTAAAGAAAATTCTAAATTTTCTCTTAGGTTGATATTTTTACATGTAAAAATTTTCACACATGTAACATACACATAACATGTGTTAAGGCCAAGGCAGCTATGTTTTCACATGGTTACTACTTACACAGAGCAAGTTTGACTAAATAAGAACACTATCATGTTATTATAACTAAAATATTCACAAATAGAAAGATGAAAAAGGTACAAGCAACACAAAACTCTCCTTAAATTAGATATTTGGGGGGATACATATATATGTATGCTTACTACAAATAGAAATCATTATTTATCAATGCTAAATGTAAATGAAGAGAAGGGTAATTTAGCTTGATAGTATTTAAATAACATACACTTATATTCCCGAGAAAGAACAAACCTTAATGTCAACAAACTTGATTTACTTCTATGCTTTTCTCACTCCTCTGTTATTTTCCGGAGTGACAAGATTAATTATGATATTATACCACCCAGTCATACAGAGGCCAAATTAGCATTTGGATATCAGCTTGAGGGACAATTGCCAGAACCTTGTATTTCTTGACAATAAAACTTGCAAGTGAGGTATGAATATGTGACAAACATGCTTTCTTCACTCCCCAATAAGATAAAGTGATTTAGAAGCAATATATTTTAAACATGAACACAATCTACATATGAAACTTCTGGGTCTTAGAACCTATGTTCAGAAATCCCAATGTTAGAAAATCCATGCACTTTTTAGTCAAGCAATAGTTATGCTTGTGTAGATTTTAAATACACTTTATTATTGGTTATATATATTCCTATTTATGGGAAGGTAGGACAAGATTTCAAAGGATAAAAGTGACTACTGAAATAGAAAATAAAAACAATAAAACATTTGGAATTTTGGGAGCCATTTTCAGACCTTTTCAAAGGCTAACAGTTTGGTTTAGAAAGAACCTGAATTAATAGGAGGATGGGAAAAAGCTAAATGAGTCCACTTTAAAAATCACTTTTAAAAATCTTTCCCCCACTGGGCGTGGTGGCTCACGACTGTAACCCCAGCCCTTTGGGAGGTAGAGGCAAGAGGACTGCCTGAGCCCAGGGGTTCGAGACCAGCCTGGGCAACTTGGCAAGACCTCGCCTCTACAATAAATCAAAAAATTAGCTGGGCATGGTGGCACACGTCTGTAGTTCCAGCTACCAGGAAGGCTAAGGCAGGAGGATCAATTGAGCCCAACAGGTTGATGCCGCAGTGGCCGTAAGTGTGTCACTGAACTCCAACATGGGCAACAGAGTGAGACTCCAATTAAAAAAAAAAATCTTTCTTCCTTTATTAAATATTCATTTTCAAGATTAGTTTTGGGGAATAGAATCGAACTATCCCCACATATCAACAGATATTAAATTTCCTCGGATGGCTCAATTTCTGGTGGTTGGTTTTTATAGAATATCATCCAGGCTGCACAAAAAAGACACACGCCAACTTCCAAAAGGAATTGAGGTCCCTTGTGAGACTGGTGACTTACCTTCTTCACCCGCATAGGCTAGTATGGATCGTGCGCGTATCTGCTTCCCTTCGGTGGTTTTCCCTGAACAGGTGTGGGAGCAGGAGGACCAGGAAGACCACATGCTGAGCACACAGTCCTTCGGGCATGGGGCATCACAGGCCACCGGGATAGGGAAGATGGCGTCTCTGCACAGCTGCCTGTCAACTTCTTCTCCTGGGCAAAACATAATCACCAACAGTCTATCATTGTTAAATCGATGCAAAACGAGCAGTTAAAACCATATGGGCACCCAGATAAATTCAATTAGTTTTCTTTTGTTCTTACTTAAAAACAAAGCCCAAAGAGGGGTTTCCTGCTACAGCCAGATGTTAAAAGAACTGAAACAAGCACACACACACAAGAGGGGTATCCAAAATTTGTTTATAAAATATTGTGTATTTATTCTTACATGGTTAAGCTTCAGTCACCTTCAGTGTACTCTCCGTTTGGTGCAATACACAAGATGCTTTTTTCACTGTTCAAAACAGGTTTTTTCTTTTTAGATTGGAAAATATTGTTTATTTAAAAAGTAAATTAGAGAGAGAGAGAGAGAGAGGAGAGAGAGTCACCTCCCAAGCTAGGGAAGGGGGTCAGAGTCAGGAAACATGGCACCAGCATCTAGTAATGCAATGGCCTAAAATGGGTTTTGAACTTAACAGCTTTGATGCCTTTAAGTGCTTCTGCTATTTTTGTTTCACCTTTCCTTGTTGGCAAAACATTTCCCTTTGAGGACTTTTATCATCCAGGGAAACAAACAAACAAACAAAGAAATCGCTTGGGGCAAGATCAGGTGCACAGGGAAGATGGGGCACAGTTCACCTGCTGTTGTAACCAAACACTCAGCAGTGTGTGGGCAAGTGTGCTTGTAAGTCACCCATCATGAAATGGGCAAATACATTTGAAAGAATCTCCCCGCAAAACTTTACTGAAGCCTAATATAGCCTCTCTCAACAATGCTGGCTGGTACAGTGATGTTGATGGGTTCTTAGAAACACTTACTTAGCAGTGCCCACCCTCCAAAATGTAATTCTGGGTTTATTTGGGTCTCCTCTCATACACACATATATCCCTATGAGAGGCTTCTTATATAATCAGAAGCGTAGGTGGTTAGATCAAGCACATTGTTGAAACTATTTTTATGCTATAGATTCCTGCCCAATAAATAATCTCTATTTTCTCAGATGTGCCCTAAGGAACATCAATGAAGTATGTTCCCCTCTTTATTCCTTTATTGGAGATAAGATTTACAAATAAATAATCACTTTATCCAAAGCATCTGTCATGTTTTCATGAACAAATTTTTACGAGTATCTATTTACAAACATTCTTGTGTCTTTCAAATAAGTTATTTTTGTACACTTGGCAAACTTTTTCTTTCATAAAAAAATAGTTTGTTGGAAATTGCCAGGAAATGTAAATGATAGGATAGCATTGTAAAGCTACAAATTAAGATGGTCACAGTGGGAGAGGGAGGGAAATAAGACAGAGAAAAAAACAGTAGAAGTAAGATATGTCACTCCAGTGCTTAAAACTCTTCACTGGTTTCCTACAGCTTTTAAGATAAAGACTAGATTTCTTAAAAGCTTACCAGACCTCAAGTGACCTGGCTCTCATCTTCCTTCCTAGCCTTATCTCCCTGCTCCCTTAGCCCTTAAAACTCCGAGACTGACACAAAGTTGACACTCATTTAATATGTGTTGAATGAATGAAATGAGACAGTCCAAAGGCCAATGAGAAATAAATATTTTGTTGTTAATAAATGCCAAAGATAACCACCAGAATTATAAATTAATGACCAAAAGAGACTATGAGAAAAATCCTGAACTCTGTGGCTTTGTTGGTTAACATAGAGTGCTAATGAGGTCAAAGGAACAGAATGAAGCAATATACAAACAAGCAAACATTAAGCTGCTATTTTGCCTTAAAATAGCACCATAATTCTGGATGAATATATTAAAGAATTAAACATTCAGGTGAGAAAGGGTGACCAACGTTGCCCTTCCTTAAGGCTACTGAACACAAAACTCCAAGCTATTTTTCACTGATGTACGGTGAAGAGCATTAGTTTAATACATACTCCTTTATTCATATATTTGAAAAACAAGACAGAAAATCAGGAGTCAATTGGAAATGCTCTAACATGTTAATAGCTACCAGTTTGTAGGACCTTGAATTATTACACAAAATCAGAAGTCAATTCAATGGATGTGCACTTACATGTTAATAGCCTCAAGATTGCAAGACCTTAAATCATTAGACTTCCTCAACAGTAAGCAAGGGAGCCTCACTAAAATTACAGTTGAATCAACCTTATATCATTCATTCTCTTTAAGTTACTCTAATCTATGGGATCTCTTTTAAATTATGCTTCTATCAGATTTGGGGTTTGACACATACCCCCATAAAACAATATGCTACATAGATTGTAGATACAGTAGGTAGGTAGACAGAGTGCAAAAGTCAATATAGTCATTATAGTATAAGGCATTTAATATTTTATGATTTACATAATGATCACTCTTTTTTCTTCTAAACTTTTTCTTACTGCAAGGGAGCTTGCACATAGCTTATTCCTTTCATTGCTATCTTTTATTGTACCATCTACCCTCTTTCTCTTTTGGTTCCAATATTCTGTGGAAAGCAAAGAAAGTTTGGTACCATAGCCTATCGGTAACAAGAGTTAAGGTTTTATGTCTTCTCTAATAGTTACCCAGTCATTTCTACCTAGAAAAATTTAATTTATTCTGTGGTAATCGAGAGGTTGCTACAAGCATGCTATTAGAGTAGCTTGCCTGGCAGAAGTGACGTATTTCTGTTTGTTGTAATGCAGACCCCAAAGATGTACAATTTTGACTTTTTTGTCTTTTAAGTTACTACTTTTTTTCATCTGTGTCCCATGCCTTAGTCAAACTTTGTTTCACTAATCTTGTTCTGCTTAGGCAGGTGTATTTCCTGTAGGCACATTCCTTCCACCCCAAGGGCACATTGTAATCTTCTTTGGAGCTGTTAAGACCTATCTCAGATGCAACTTCTGAGCTCTCCCTGGTAGTTTGGGAGAGAGTTCTGCACTCTCCTACTCCTGCCTGGTGTGATTTTGTACTCTTTCCCCTCTGATCTCTTCCCACATTCACATTAAAGCGGTTTATGTTCTAGCCACAATGGCTTTTTCTCCCTCCTACAAACCAAGATCATTGTTGCCTCAGGGTTTTCCAATTTCTCTTCTCTTTGTATGAAAATTTCAGGTCTTCACCGAGGCCAGTTTCTCAACATTCAGGTTTTAGCTCAATTTTCTCCTCCTTAGAGGAAATTTCCTTGACCATACATACTCTCCCAGTCACCTTAGCTTATTTTTGTTATAGTTTTAATGACCACTAGAACCTATTTTAATAATTGTTTGCATGCTTACTGTCTGACCCTTCCCCTAGAGGGAAGGATCCTTATCTGTCTTGCTTTTTAGAATAGTGATTGACACGTAGTTGCACTAAATCATTTTTTGTTAAAAAAAAAAAAATGAATAAATTAGGGCTAGGTGCAGTAGCTAACGCTTGTAATTCCAGGATTTTGGGAGGCTGAGGTGGGAGGATCACTTGAGCCTAGGAGTTCAAGACCAGTCTGGACCAAAAAAAACAAAAACAAAAACAAAAACGCCAAGTGGCACAGCTCTGTAGTTCCAGCTACTCAGGAAGCTGGGGAGGGAGATTCACTTGAGTCCAGGAGGTCAAGGCTGCAGTGAGCCAGGATTGCATCATACCACTGCACTCCAGCCTGGGCAAAAGCATGAAATCCTGTCTCAATAGATAAATAAGTATATAGATAAATAAATAAATTTTAGTGGTTGCGCTAGGAAACAGAATGATAGTCTAGACAAAAAAGGATCTAAGTACAGTATTTCTTTTTTTTCTTTTCTTTTTTTTTTTTTTGAGTTGGAGTCTCACTCTGTCACCCAGGCTGGAGTGCAGTGGCATACTCATAGCCACTGCATCCTCGACCTGCTGGGCTCAGGCGACCCTTCAGCCTCAGCCTTCCAAGTAACTGGAACTACAGGTACACGCTACCATGGTTGGCTAACTTTTTCATTTATTGTAGAGATGAGGTCTCACCAAGTTGCCCAGGCTGGTCTTGAACCTCCGGACTCAGGCAATACTCTCACCTTGGCCCAGTATTTCTTATATTATCATACTCTGAAGTCCTATAGGACCTTGCTGAAGTGTAGTCTGTGGATATCAGCATCAGTATCACCTGGAGTTTGCTGGAAATGCAGCCTCTCAGATCCCACCCACTAAATCGGAATGCGTATTTTAAATAAAGATCCCCAAGTGACTTATATGCACATCAAATAAGAAGCATTGCTCTAGAATTTTTCTGTGTTTGATATCTTCTGGTCTGATTAGAACCAGACTGACTCTTGAAAGGGCAGCTGTATAAAATGAATTAATCTGTCTTTTATATCTAATGTCATGTACTTCTCTACCAGCTTCTGTTTATATTTCCCTTCATACAGAGGTGGAAAATATTCATTCTGAAGGTTCACCTTTTGTCAGGCACTGTTCTATGAATGCTGTGTACATCATCTCAGCAAATTCTCATAATAACCTTTTGACATATGAAAAGGGATTCCCCCCCAAATATCTGGAATTATCTTTTGAAGGGCAGGACCCTTGCAGTACACTCTGAATTTGTTTCTCTGGATCAAACAGTCCATCAAAAATTTTATCTGGAGGTTTTGAGAAAGTTGTGAAAAGATTTGCAGAAGAAGCATCGGTTCTTCCACCATGACAATGCACCTGACCACACTGCACTGGGTGTTCAGCAGTTTTTGATAAAAAAGGGCATGAACCCTGTACCCTATTCACCTGATCTTGGTCCCAGTGCCTTTTTTTGTTTCTCTGGATGAAAAAAGTTCTCAAAGAAAAATAGTTTGCTGAAAGTGAAACAAAAACTGCAGAAGCACCAAAAGGCATCAACTAATTTGAAGAGTGGAAAAAGCATCTCGATGTGTGTATTACATCAAACAGACAGTACTTTGAAGGTGACTGAAGTTTAAACATGCAAGAATAAATACACAATTTTTTATAAATAAAGTCCAGATGTTTTGGGTCCTGCCTCGTAGGTATTGGTAACTATTTTTTACTTTAAAGAAAACTGAAATTTGAGAAGTTTAAGTCACTATCTCA